GGAGTGCAGGTTTCCCGGTTCGAGACCGGGGATCGGGTTGGAGATGCCGAAGATGCAGCTGTAGTCGCAAGGAGGGGCTGGGATGGAGTTAGTTGAGGGATTTTAAGGTATTGAGAGGGAAGGGAGTGTTTGGTGTTTGGCGTGAGAGCTGGGCGTGATTGATGTTTGAAACTTGACTTCTTGATAGTGTGTGAAATAGTCTGGACTAGCAAACTAGATCTGAGCTTTCATCATATGAAAGTAACTCCACAATTGAAGTGCATTGAACACTGTGAAACATCAAATGCTCTGACAGGATTCCCCAAGAAGCATTGATTTTCTGACCGCAGTCTAGACTTATGGAGACCCCGCTTCCAGATATGTTTCAAACCTAGGGCAATGAAAACCCACCACATGGCAGGAATCAACAAACAAATAAAGACCTACCATTCTCTTCCCCAGCAGGGATATAGCCCGGAATTTTCTCTTCAGCCAGCCTCCACATTTCCGATCTAGTCTTGCTGTGAATCCCATCACCACCAACCAGTATATCACCTGTGAATTCCGATCCATCCGTCATGATTGCTTTGACGCCCTTCTCATTCATCTCGATCTTCGTGAGACGTTTCTCGGTTAGAACCTTCGACTTATCTCTAATATTATCATACAGCACCTTTAGCACTGCCTGACGATCGAGAAACAAAATGGGATATCCATGTCTATACTGCATTAGAACATACTCTAGTTTTCCCAACAGCACCCGTATGTATGTATTTACCTCTGTTCGAAAGAATGTCTCATCCCAGAATGACCTGCGATCCTCTCACCCTTGCTATTGCGAAAATTGAACCGCTCAACCGGAGGCGCCAGTCCCAAAATCTTGTCGAACAATCCCAATTGATCGAGGATTCGGTTGCCGTTAGGGAGCAATCCTATGCTGGCCCCGACTTGGGGAGCTATGGCGGGGTAGGCCTCCAGAATGATAAAATCGATTTCGTTCAGCTGAAGCATGTTGCCCAACACGAGACCAGCCACACTGCCTCCAATGATAACAACTCTGAATGAGGTTTTGTAGGCCATATTCGCAGCTGACTGTTAGCGTAATCCGTGTCGTCGTGCCTCGTAATCTTCAATGAGAAAAAAAAATTGCTGGAAGTTTGTTATTCTGCAGATGAAAAGAAAGATCAAAGCGCTTCTATATACTTATCCCGCCAGAACGTACACAGGCCCGGAGCTAGGAAACCAAGATCGTTCCTAGTCTATTTTACTATCACGTAGCATATGCAAAGGGATATTATAGTCCTTCTATATACTGTACTTGTCCCGCCAGAAAGTACACAGGTCCGGAGCTAGGAAATCAAGACCATTCCTAGCGTGGTTACCTATCGCGTGGCATGTGCATTGACTAGCTTCGAAGCTGCATGCGTTCTGACTGTGAGAGTACTTGGAAACGTTGTAACTCTCAAATTCTTGTTGGACCTGATCACCACGTGGAGAAAAAATCATGTTGTTCATATGGACAAGAGCCCTGATGCTTGGAGAATAACGGGCCGCTCTGCATACTCACCATTTAGACAATATGATATATCAAATGTGCAACTCACCCAAGTTCTGCCACCGCCATAAATCAAAAATATGCAACGCTTCCACCTACGATGCCAATATTCTTCACCCATCCAATCATATGAATTAATTCATGAAATAAGCTTCCGGGAATTCAACGGAGATCATCTCAAAAGTGGATAGTGGATAAATGAGTGGAGTGGTACAACGAAACATATTACAATTCTCTCCCTGTCGACCGAACCACACTCATGTGTGAAAATGTATTCTCAAGGGACAACAATCCACACTCTCCACTCCCGAATCCTTTCAAACGGTTTCTGACCGCATTAGGAAAGGGATGGACGTTGATAAAAGTGGACGATTTCTGAATTGAACGAAAGCAAGATGACAATGGAACGACTTGTAACATCCATGGGTATTACTACACGAAACGTTTGTATTACCCCGTACTCTATATACCTTGTTCGGGGCAGGTGTTCCGAATATGATGTATTCCCAAATGGGGCTTGCTCGGCTCATCGACCCCATGGTGTGTGGTCCGACGAGGACGAAAGAAGACATCAATATTTGTCCCCTGGCAAACCGACATTAAAATTTCCTAGCCTGCATGAAAAATTGCTGGTAGTTATATGATTCCCACATGGAAATAAGATTTTTGCCGTTTGGTGATCTTCCTTTTAGACATGGTGTAGCCTATGGCTCTTGACAATACTTGAACAATTCGTTGTGTTAAAGGGTAAGGTTTGCACAGATCTAAAACTGCTGTGTATCCTTTCGTGGTATAACATTGCTTTTTAAACTTTTGAGGTTTGCAAAAAGAGCCGCAAATATGGAACCTCAGCCCAGCCCTCAGGGTTTTGCTCTTGAAGGCTCGACTTTAAAGAACTCCCTAAGACCTAAAACCGCTCTGTGCAACTTATAACATTTCACTCGGAGTTCACTTGTCTTCATGACTCTGGCAGTTGTGCTATTCGATCGTTCTGTTTGTAGCTTCATTTCCGAGGTTCACGTCATCAAAAGAGTGCCGGTGGTGTGCTGAGCACATATTAGACTAGACCATCATGGTTTTAGAACAGAGGGCTCTTACAATTGTCATTGTCAATTTTGTATTTCTTGGACTATCGACCATTACATTAGCATTGCGATGCTTGGTTCGGGTAACGCGTGAAGCGTTCGGCTTGGACGATTGGATGATACTGCTGGGATGGGTATATAGAGTACCCTTTTCTCATAATTTGGCGAGTTTGCTAATTTGATATAGATCATATTTGTGATGAATGTCTCCATGTCGACGATGTCCGCAATCCATGGCCTGGGTGTTCATAACCTTACTATTACTGCCGCAGAAATGGAGCCTGCAGTCAAGGTTAGTACATACATGCGAATAGTGGTATTGAAATTAAGGTCGCTAATTAAAGAGAACAGTACTTTACTCTCTTTCAACTTTTCACCTTGACAGGTACATTGCCAGTCAAAGCTAGCATCTGTATCTCCCTAATGCGCATAACACCCAGCCTGACCTACAGAAAAATTCTCTACGCAATCATGGCAGGGTCCGTAGCGACAGTCCTCATTTCCGACATAGTTGTTATTGTAACATGTCGACCCATGGCATTCACCTGGGACAAAACCATTCCCGATGGGAAATGCAGCAGTATCAATGCTATCCTCATCCTAAGCTATTGTTTCTCGGGCATGAACATCATCACCGACTGGTCTACTGCCCTTATCCCCGCATTCATAGTATGGAACTTGAAACTCTCTCCCAGAATCAAAGTCGCTATCAGTATTCTCTTAGGAATGGGTATGTTCGCTAGCATAGCCACGATAATTCGTGTCAAATATTTTCCCAACTATGCAAAAGCAGTTGACTATCTCTATGGCGTGGCTCCCATCGTCTGGTGGTCTACCATCGAAATCGGTCTAGGAATAATAGCAGCATGTCTCAGTGCTCTCAGACCGATACTCCGTTTCGCTTTAGGAAACGGTTCCTATGGCCCCTCAGACGATAGACCCAGCCCTCCAACCATTGCAACACCTCATAAAAAAGGCTACATGAAAGCTCGCGCCATCAGATTACGGAATATTGAAGACGGTCTTGCAACGACGATGGTTACGGAAGCTGGGAACGACACTGCAGATAATTATAATGAAAGCATAAATGCTAGCGATGGGGATAAGAGTAGTCAAAGGGGGATATTACAGCATATTCCAGAGCATCCCGAACCGAAATGCACCGGGAAGGAAGTAGGTATTTTGGTTACGCAAATTTATAAGATTGAGGATGAAGACACTGAAGACAATGTCTCGAAAGAAAGAGGTTGTGAATACAATGGTAACAATGAGTCAAGGGAACGAACAATACAGGATATAGTATAAGTATAGCTTATGACGACAGGCTACGTGTCATACTTGCAATGTCATTGGCGGAATGGAACATTTTGTGAGTATGGGGATCTGTAAGAGTTTGACGTGTGACAGGGACGATGAATTTAATAAGAAATGATGATTTGAGTGTTGATCGTGCATCAGATGTTGTTACTGAGTATCTTGAAGCTAGAGAAACCCCCAGAACTACCCGAGAACCTAAAATTCTCTAAACAATACATCCACCTCGGATGCTGCATAAACCGAATACACTTGACTGGTGGTTGACAAACATGTCTGCGTGGTCTGCTTGATAGGGGAACAAAGCAAACGCGAAAAGAAAACAATGATGAGGTAAAGCTGTGTACATATGCCGTTTTTGAAGCAGATAACATAGCAAAATGAACAATCTGGCGAGAATCGTGTCATGCCAAACAACTATATCGTAGAAAGCGATTGCCGATTCATCAAGCAAGCAGCTTTATCTAACTGTAAAGATACAAGAATGCTGTTCCGGGAGACGCGGTCTACCCACAGCTTCACTACTAGAAGCCGAACCTTGTGGAACACAATCAGGAGCCGCCTTAGGTGTGAAAGCGAATCATTGTATTTTGGAAACTTTCAGAAAGATTGATAGCTTCATCGGTGTGATAGCTTCATCGTTGCCAAAATGAGTGTTGACGTAAAGTTGAACGCTAGTGAAAAAGGTCGTGCCCCTTAGATATCCTATCACGTGACGCGGCTGGCTCAAATGACTAAACCGGATTAGCGCGTTCCTTGCTCACTGATCCAGCCGTTTACAATTGTCGTCGTCGCAAGTGACAAGGCCAGTTTTAGAAGCAATACAACCACATATCCTCTCCACATTTCAAATCCCATATTCCGCAACATACCCTTAGTCTGGGTATCTCTTGAATCCTCTTAATTAATTTCCACAACTCTTGTACTTTCAAACTTCCGTTTGTTTTTAATTGAGCACGTTTCTGGGTAAACAGCGCCTCTCTGCGCAGATAGCTTGCCCACTACATTGGGTCAACAATTAAATAAGGCCATTTCCTTTGATCGCATAGATCAGAGAACCAGTAAATATGGCTCCACTACCAATCAAGTTTACGGAGCTTCTCCAGGTATGATATGAGTTGTGCGATGATGGGATTGTTGACTTGTGTTTACTGACTTTAATTTAGTTAACAAGTGTCGGGGTTGAGGTATGTACCAGCCACAACACAGCTATCCTCACCAGCTTCTGCCATAACGACTTCAGCTTCAAACACCCAATCTCGATCTGGCTTGCTAACAATTAATCCTGTAGGCACAATCGATAGGTTTTAATTCGTGTGTAAGTAATTCCGTAATTTTGAATTGAGCATTGGGCATGTGTTGACTACTCGAATAGACACTGGAGTCAGATTCCTACATCTGCGTACGAGAAAAGAAGAACGAAGCTGCACAACCAGAAGTCGTCATCGTTGATCTAAAGCAGAACAATGCTGTCACTCGAAGACCTATTAAGGCGGATAGTGCCATCATGCACTGGTCGAAACAGGTCATCGCATTAAAGGCACAATCAAGGACCTTACAGATATTTGACTTGGGCGCCAAGGCAAAGCTGAAGTCTGCTACCATGAACGAAGATGTTGTCTTCTGGAAATGGTTCAGTGAGACAAGCTTGGGTTTGGTTACTGATACAACAGTTTATCACTGGGATGTATTTGACCCAAATCAGGCTTCCCCGGTAGAGGTCTTCAAGAGAAATCCAAATCTTGCTGTGAGTCTTATTTATTTTTGAGAAAAGGATCGGTATTAATGTTATGCTAGGGATGCCAAATTATCAACTATCGTGTTAGCGGCGATGGAAAGTGGATGGTAGTCGTAGGCATTACACAACAACAAGGACGAGTGGTAGGAGCGATGCAACTTTATTCAAAAGACAGAGGCATCAGTCAGGCTATCGAAGGTCACGCGGCAGCATTCGGTACATTACGATTGGAATCGGCCCCAGCAGATACAAAGGTATTCACATTTTCGGTTCGGACTGCTACTGGCGCAAAGCTACACATAGTCGAGGTCGACCACCAAGCTTCAAATCCAACATTCTCGAAGAAGGCAGTCGATGTTTACTTCCCTGCTGAAGCCGTAAACGATTTCCCAGTTGCAATGCAAGTTTCACAAAAATACAGCATTATTTATTTGGTTACCAAATACGGCTTTATTCACCTTTACGATCTTGAAACTGGTACATGTATTTTCATGAACCGTATCTCGAGCGAGACGATTTTCATCACAGCTGGCGATTCGGAATCCGCAGGACTTGTTGGTGTTAACCGCAGAGGACAGGTATTGTCGGTATCTGTTGATGAAACGACAATTATTCCATACCTCCTCCAAAATCCTGCAAACTCTGGTTTAGCCGTCAAGCTTGCTTCGAGAGCCGGTCTACCTGGTGCGGACAACCTCTATGCCAACCAATTCGAGCAACTTTTGTCTGCAGGGAATTACTCGGAGGCATCAAAGATCGCTGCAAACTCTCCTCGCGGCTTCTTGCGAACCCCACAAACCATCGAACGTCTTAAGAATGTACCGGCTGTTCCAGGTCAACTATCTGTCATCTTGCAATACTTTGGTGTATTACTTGACAAGGGATCGCTGAATAAACACGAGACTTTGGAGCTTGTACGACCTGTCTTGGCCCAGAACCGAAAGCATCTTCTTGAAAAGTGGATGAAGGAGAACAAGCTTGACTGTTCCGAAGAATTAGGTGACATTGTCCGTCAACAAGATACACAGCTTGCACTTGCTATCTATCTCAAGGCAAACGTTCCTCACAAAGTTGTTGCTGCTTTCGCAGAGAGCGGCCAGTTCGAGAAGATCTTACCTTACGCCCAACAAGCAGGTTATCAACCAGACTATGTCCAATTACTTCGTAACATCATCTCCATCAACCCCGAAAAGGGAGCCGAGTTCGCTACACAGTTGGCAAACACTGAGGGTGGTTCACTTGTCGATATTGAGCGTGTTGTAGATGTATTCCAGTCTCAAGGAATGGTTCAACCTGCTACGGGATTCTTACTTGATGCATTGAAGGAAAATAAGCCAGAGCAAGGACACTTGCAGACTCGTCTTCTTGAAATGAATCTCATGAATGCTCCTCAAGTTGCCGACGCCATTCTTGGTAATGAGATGTTCTCACACTATGATAAGCCTAGAATCGCACAATTGTGTGAGCAAGCCGGCCTTTCTCAAAGAGCTTTGGAGCACTATGAAGACCCTGAAGCCATCAAACGCGTAATTGTCAATATTGTTGCTTCGCCAACTTTCAGTCAAGAATGGCTCACTGGTTACTTTGGTCGCTTGTCCCTTGAGCAGTCATTAGATTGTCTTGATGCTATGCTCAAGGTAAACATTCGTCAAAACCTTGCGGCTGTTGTTCAAATCGCTGTCAAATACTCTGATTTACTCGGTGCTGTCAGATTGATTGATCTTTTCGAGAAGTACAAGACTGCCGAGGGTCTCTACCATTATCTTGGTAGCATTGTCAACTTGAGCGAAGATCAAAACGTCGTGTTTAAATATATTGAGAGCGCCGCCAAGATGCAGCAATTCAACGAGGTGGAACGCATTTGCAGAGATTCCAATTTCTACAATCCTGAACGCGTAAAGAACTTCTTAAAGGAAGCCAAATTGACCGAGCAATTGCCACTCATCATCGTCTGTGATCGATTCAACTTTACTCACGAGTTGGTACTCTACCTTTATCAAAATCAACAATTTCAATCTATCGAGGTCTATGTTCAGCGTGTGAACCCAGCCCGAACACCTGCTGTTGTTGGTGGTTTACTTGATGTTGATTGTGATGAGCAAATTATCAAGAACCTTTTGAACTCAGTCAATCATGCTTCCATCCCTATCGATGAACTTGTTCATGAGGTTGAAACACGAAACCGTCTTAAGCTTCTATTGCCATTCCTTGAGGCAACCCTGGCTGCAGGTAACCAGCAACAAGCTGTATACAATGCTTTAGCAAAGATATACATCGACAGGTATGTTTATCATCACACAGGGCATGGTACGATGTAGCTAATACAAAAAAAATAGTAACAATAATCCAGAGCAGTGGCTTGAGAACAACAACCAATTTGATACGTTGCTCATTGGGTTAGTCTTCTACACCCTCATTTATCGTTTCATTTACTGACCTTTTTAAGTTCGTATGCAGCAAAACGCGACCCCGGAATTGGTGAGTTGGTTTTTTTTTTATTTTCTGAAAACTTTTGCTCGTCTTGTACATTACAATTCGGTAGTGCCAATTGTCACGACCAATACGATTCATTGTGTTATATTGTCTCCTGGAAGTGGACAACCTAATTTCATATCGCTCACCACGTAATAATCGGTAGTACCGGTTTCTTATCAACTTGCCGGATTTCTTTGCTAACTATTCGAAAGCTATCATTTGTTTCAGAAAGGGACATAACGATCTCGAGCTTGTTAACATCACCAATGAAAATTCCATGTACAAAGTTCAAGCTCGCTATCTCTTGGAGAGAGCTGATCGAGAGCTTTGGGAGTTTGTTCTCTCGGAAAACAATATACATCGCCGATCCGTCATTGATCAAATCATTTCTACAGCTGTTCCCGAATCAACTGAACCCGAAAAGGTCTCTGTTGCAGTCGCATCTTTCCTTAGTGCTGATCTTCCGGGCGAACTAATTGAGTTGCTCGAAAAGATTGTCCTCGAGCCTTCGCCCTTCAGTGACAATGAGAGCTTGCAAAATCTTCTCATTCTCACCGCTACTAAAGCTGATAAGGGTCGAGTCATGGATTACATTCACAAATTAGACGCATTTAACCCGGCGGATGTAGCTTCTATCTGTATTGAAGTCGGCTTGTACGAAGAAGCATTCGAGGTTTACAAGAAGATCAACGACCACACCAACGCTGCAAATGTACTCGTTGAGCACATTGTCAGTATCGATCGTGCGAACGACTATGCTGAGAAAGTGGAGCTTCCCGAAGTATGGAGTAGGGTCGCCAAGGCTCAATTGGATGGTCTACGTGTAAGCGATGGTATTGCCTCGTACATTCGCGCCGATGATCCAAGCAATTATCTCGAAGTCATTGAAATTGCAACTCATGCTGGAAAGGACGAGGACCTTATCAAATACCTTCGTATGGCCCGTAAGACTCTTCGTGAGCCTGCCATTGATACTGCACTTGCTTTTGCATATGCTCGTACCGATCAACTCAGCGAACTTGAGGACTTCCTCAGAGGAACCAATGTCGCTGATATCGAAGAATCGGGTGACAAGGCATACGCTGAAGGATTCCACCAAGCTGCGAAGATATTCTTCACTAGTATTTCAAACTGGGCCAAACTTGCCACCACCCTCGTTCATCTTGAGGAATACCAGTCTGCCGTGGAATGTGCCCGAAAGGCCAACAATATCAAGGTCTGGAAGCAAGTCAACGCTGCTTGTGTTGAAAAGAAGGAATTCCGCCTTGCCCAGATTTGTGGTCTCAATTTGATTGTTGATGCTGAGGAGTTGCAGAACTTAGTCAAGCAATATGAACACAATGGTTACTTTGACGAACTTATTGCTCTGCTTGAGCAAGGCTTGGGTCTTGAACGTGTAAGAAATATCTCAAGCAAAGACCCAACATCTCTAGGAGACGAAGCTAACCTTGAATACATAGTCTCACATGGGATTATTTACAGCCCTTGGCGTTGCCCTTTCCAAATATCACCCAGACCGCACAATGGAGCACTTGAAGCTCTTCTGGAGCAGAATCAATATTCCCAAGGTAATTCGTGCGTGCGAGGAAGCTCACCTTTGGCCCGAGTTGATTTTCTTGTACTGCCATTATGATGAGTGGGACAATGCCGCTCTTGCAATGATGGAGAGAGCTGCCGACGCATGGGAGCACCACTCATTCAAGGATATCGTTGTTAAGGTAGCAAATTTGGAGATCTACTACCGCGCTCTAAACTTCTATCTTCAAGAGCAACCATCTCTCATTACCGATCTTCTTCAAGCACTTTCTCCAAGAATCGACGTCAACCGTGTTGTCAAGATGTTCGAAAAATCCGACAACATCCCTCTCATCAAACCCTTCCTTCTCAACGTTCAGACCCAGAATAAGAAGATTGTCAACAGTGCTATCCATGACTTGTTGATTGAAGAGGAAGATTACAAGACCCTCCGTGATTCAGTTCAGAATTACGATAACTATGATGCCGTCGAGCTTGCTCAACGATTAGAGCGTCACGATTTAGTTTTCTTCCGTCAAATCGCTTCCAACATTTACCGCAACAACAAGCGCTGGGAGAAATCCATTGCTCTTTCAAAACAAGATAAGCTTTTCAAAGACGCAATTGAGACTGCTGCTATTTCTGGCAAGGAAGATGTGGTTGAGGAGTTGCTTAGATATGTAAGTTCAATGTGTAATCCAATTTTCTCATTCCTTTGCTAATCATTCTACTAGTTCGTTGATATCGGCAGCCGTGAATGTTACGTTGGTATGCTCTATGCTTGCTACGATCTCATTCCTGTCCATGTTGTCATGGAAATTTCATGGCGTCATGGTCTTACCGACTTTACTATGCCATTCATGATCAACTACTTGGCCCAACAAAGTTCTACTATTGCTGAGCTGAAGAAGGATAATGAAGAGAGGAAGTTGAAAGAGAAGTCACAAGTTCAGGAAGAGGACAATACTCCAATTCTCGGAGGTAATCGTCTAATGATCACCGCTGGACCTACCGGACGTGCATCTCCAGCCCAGTTCGGTCACACTAATGGATTTGCACCACAACCAACAGGTTTTGGAGGATTTTAGATGATGGTTGAGGATGAAAAACGCGTTTATACATAATGATATTGCATTTGGGTTGTAACATTTTCTTGATTTTTTCATCTGGTCTGGAATTTCATGCAGATTTTACATCTTGGTACATTCCCATGATGATGATGTAATTGTATGCTTGGTGCAGCATTTACTGGGTGGAAACCTTTTCCTTGTTCAATGGGGGACTCACCATGTTTGTAACTGATAGTTTGAGGAGCGTTGATGGATTGGTCTGCTTTTAGATTCTCTGATGTACCTCTGCACAGTATGAGAAAATTAAAAGCTTGTTTTATAAAAGTTTTGATGTTGAATGGAGTGATACCAAAAGTGCCATGCTGTGCCATGCTCGCACCGTCCCGTTGATCCCGCCTTGGTATTATGTAGAGATCCTATTTGTAGATTAAAGTGAGACTGCAGCCTGGATTATGGGAAACCCTGTCGCCACTATATTCCCTACCCCTCTTTCGATGTTTGAAAGCAATTCGATATTCGAAATAAATTCATAGATTTAAAGTCTTTGAATGTTATAGTTGGATTCACAAATTCACACTCTTTGAATATTCTAGGTACTTACTTTTTAGATTCATATATACATATACACATATATACATACATATACATATACATATATACATATATACATACATATACATATACATATACACATATACACATATACACATATATACATATATATATACATATATATATACACATATACACATATACACATATATACATATATATATACATATATATATACACATATACACACACATATATATACACACACATATATATACACACACATATATATACACACAAACAAACAAACATACAAACAAACAAACCTCTTGAACAGTCCAACTAGAATCCGCACGCATACCCCCCCCCCCCCCCCTCCTCTCTCTCTCTTTCTCTCCAGTGTCCACACCGTTTAGATCGTCGCAATGGATTTACATATACCTATCTATCTAGGTAGTAGTAGTAGTAGTAGTAGTAGTAGTAGTAGTAGTAGTAGTAGGTAGGTACTGGTAGGTACGTACTGGTAGGTACGTACTGGTAGGTAGGTACTAAGTAAGCATTCAAATTCAAAATTCAAAATTCAAAATTCAAAATTCAAAATTCAAAATTCAAAATTCAAAATTCAAAATTCAAAATTCAAAATTCAAAATTCAAAATTCAAAATTCAAAATTCAAAATTCAAAACCTTATAAGATATCCATAAATACCAAGGGGCTTGGGAATTTGCTGATTAGGTTAGGTCTCTAGATGCGCAGTGTGAAGTTTGGTGGGTGGTGGTGAGTGGTGGTGGGTGGTTAGGTTGGAGATGGGAGAGCGGGTACAATAGGATACGATGTGATGTTCTGCAGATTTGGCGTGTGTGATTTGTGTGGGATATGAGATTTATGTGATGTTATGTTAGTTAGGTGAGATTTATGTGATGCTATGTGATGCTATGCTATGCTATGCTATGTGATGTGATGGGGTGGGGTGGGTTAGGCCAAGCATGCCAATTCTGCAAGAGGGTTTCACGATGTTACTGAGGCATTTTGAACTTTGAAGGGGGGTGTTTTAGTTTTTTGGAGGGATTCTTGGGGGGATTCTTGGGGAGGGAAGGGGTTGGTGTTTTGAGGAATGTTTTGATGGTTTGTTTTGGTGGATGTTTTGATGTGCCAAGTTGCTTGGGGAGGGCTATGACACCGGGTATGCACCGAGAGTTTAGGGGTCTGGAATCTGGAATCTGGATGGGGTTGGGGTTTTGGTAGGTTGGGGAGGGTTTGGATAGGTTTGATGGGTTTGATGGGGCGTGGAAATCAAATACTTTAGTAGACTCATAGGTAGGTAGGTAGGTAGGTAGGTAGGTAGGTAGGTAGGTAGGTAGGTAGGTAGGTAGGTAGGTAGGTAGGTAGGTAGGTAGGAAGGCGCATCTAGAGAATCTGGAATCAAGGCTTGGCGGCTTCGAGACAGATTGGCGTGCCGGCTTGGCGGGGTTGGGGGGTTCGTGGGATGGCGAGGATGGAATGGGTCGCGATGCGATGCTGAGAGGCTTGAGTGCTGGGGTGCTGGGGGGTCAAGGTAAGCGTAGAGTGGTATTTTGGGTGGGAATTTTTGAGGCAGAGAGGGGAGGGGAAAAGGTTTGAAGGGGGAATGGATGTTGGAGTTGGAATTGGAGTTGGATATTGCGGCTGCGGCTGTAGTTGTGCTTGTGCTTGTGCTTGTGGTTTTGGGGAAAGATTTCGGACAATTAGAGAGCGAATCGTTTAACGCTGTAACAGTAACATACCGATAATCAGCCTGATGCATCTAGACTGCAGGATTGAGAGATGGATGGATAGAACGATCGATCGATACCCAAGGTAATAAACATAGCCTCGGGAATATGGAGGGAGAACGAGGGCGATATCGCTTGTGAGGTTGTATTGTACAGACAGTATTTGTGAAGGGGGAAAAAAGTTTGGTGATCAGGTTTTGAGATTAAATTTTCTTGGGAAGAGTCACACTGGAACTGGGTAGGGAGGGAGGGAGGTATGGATGAGTAACTCCTCATTATGCGTGGAGCGGAAATATTCAGGTTCAGCGCCGGCGGCCGATTTGTGCGCCGAGCCGCGGTTTGTAACTTTGGAGATTGGTCTTTGGGTAGGTTTGTAGGTGTGTAGGTTTGTAGGTTTGTAGGTTTGTAGGTCACGGTTTTGAGAATCGAGATTGGAGTATTACTCCCCACCACATTCTTTGGGGGGGTATTGAAGGGCCCACGAGAACTAGAGAGATGGGATTGGTAAGTTAGCTGAGAGGTGTTTGTTGTTTGTTACTGGGTTAGTACATAGGTACAGTACTGTATCTATTAGTTGTTACGCGAGAGACGGAAAAATCATGACGGTTTGCCGTGTGGGAATAATTGGGAGATGGGAGATGCGAGATGCGAGATGTGAGATGTGATGTGATGCGAGATGCGAGATGAGGGATAGAGGAGAGATGCAAATGGGAGGACGCGTGGGAGAATGATGAATGGAGGATGGGATTGCGATAATCGGAAATGTATGCGAGGACGGAGCGAGGCAATGGGTGAAAGGAAAGGAAGGGAAAGGAAAGGAAAGGATCGATATTGGTTTGTATTGAATGGAGTGTTATTGGTAGGAGGTGTATATCCCACGCGGCTGGATGGCTGGTGGTTGATGTGTGTGATGTGTGATGTATGTGTGTGTGGGAGGTGGGATGGAATGTGTGGTGGAGGGGTAGACGCGGAGAAATGCATATGTACAGTCACCGAGCACTGCTACTAGCCGCTCATCAAAATCGCACCTAAAATAGCCGTTTTACTACTTTTGATTTATATTAAATTAATTACTTTGAATAAATTATTTTATTTGAATTTCGCTATATATATTATTTCGATATTGATATTTAATAAAATCAATTTTTCAAAGTTTTTTAAAATAATTTAAATTATTATTTATATTATTGAAAAATAAATTTATAAAAATTCATAATTTTTGTTTATTTTGCTAATAAATTTAAGTCCTTTTAATAACTTTTTCTTTTTCTAATTTCAATTGCATATTATATAATATATAAAATTATTAAAAATAAAATATATAATTTTTTATATATTTTAATTAATTTTAAATTAAAATATATAGTTTTTTATAAAACAAATTTAATTTGAAAAATATTAAAACTATAAAATAAAAGTAGTAAAATGACTATTTTAAATGTGATTTTAATAAGTAGCTAGTAGCAGTGCGTTAGTACTATAATATATATATATGATGAACGGGAATTATATTGAGGTAGGTAGGTTGGCAGGTAGGTAGGATATCTTGCTGATTTGTATGATTTTTGAAGGGTTACTTTGTAGATACGATATCTTGTAGATAAATGAAAAATAGAAAGATGAAAAGATGAAAAAATAGAAAAATAAAAAAGATGGAAAGATGGAAAGATGAAAAAATAGAAAGATAGAAAGATAAAAAGATGGAAAAATAAAAAGATAAAAAGATAAAAAAATAGAAAAATAAAAAGATAAAAAGATGGAAAGATAAAAAGATAGAAAGATAAAAAAAATGGAAAGATAAAAAGATGGAAAGATGGACAAATGGAAAGATAGAAAAATGGAAAATGAAAAGATAGAAAGATGGACAGATACATTTTGTTTCTATCGTTGTCTAATAAAGGGGTACCTACCGATGTATGAGTAATTATTCAATCCATTCGCCCTACTAAAGCATATTACAATTCCAAGGCAAGACTTTTGTAATTGTTATAGTCTCTCTATTATATACTTCTTTGCTCTGGTGTTTATCATAGTTAGGTAACTAATACGATATACAATTGAATCAGCGATTTCCCATTGCCAAAACGAATTTGGATTTGATATTGATATTATTATATTATTCCTAGTTGGCGATCTGAATCAGAGGATTATCGTGCGCATGTGATTGGTTCGGGACTTGGGACGCTTAGATCGGTCAAAACACAGGGTACGAGTAGACATTTCCGAGAGGTTTGGGTTTGGGATGATGGATGATGGATGGGTGATGGGTTGATGGAATGATGAATTGATGGAGTGATGGACAGATGGAGTGATGGACAGATAGAATGATGGGTTGGTTGACGGGTTAGATTCTGGGTTAGATTCTGGGTTATAAAATTCCAATATATTAACGTTTAGATGTAACATCGTAAAACGGGAATAGTAAAAGCAAATAGTCTGCAGAAAAATGAATTTTATTTAATGGACATGGTTACCATTGGACCAGCCATACCCCTAAAGGCTCTGGCATCGAACTTATAATACAATATATGCCTATTTAGGCTAGCACCTTCCTCTTCTGCCTCCACGGCAGTGGCCCTCGGAGAGCCAGCGGAGCGTCATTCCATTCGATCCTTCAGCAGCGTTTTAACTTTCTCCATTTGCCTATCTGGGATTCTGGGTATTATTGTGATGAACGGTCGGTCGGCCAATTTCATACGGGAGTGAAAGTTAAAGT